TTATATGGACAATTGGTATTCTTCTCCATTATTATACCAATATTTGTTAGAAAATAACACTGGTGCTTGTGGTACAGTTAGGAATAAAAGAAAAGGTATGCCTACTTTCCCAACAAAGTTAGCTCCTGGTCAATGTGTATCAGCTACTACAAAAGACATGATGACTTGTAAATGGAAGGATAAAAGAGATGTCCATATGTTATCAACTGTACACAAACCAAAAATGACTGTAACAAATAAAACTGACAGGTTAGGAAATAATGTTAAAAAACCACAATGTATATTAGATTACAATGCAAACATGGGCCTAATTGATAAATCTGATATGCAGATGTCTTTTAACAATACGTGCAGAAAGTCTTTGAAATGGTATAAGAAGTTTTTTTTTCATTTACTTGATCTATCTGTCCTCAATTCTGGTATTCTTTATAATTCTCTAAAAGAAACTAAATTAAAACTACCTGAATATCGATTGAAATTAATTCAACAGTTACTTCAGACTCATAGTTTTTCTGATATGAATACAAGTCCTAGTCGTCCAGGAAGAAAAATTAAAGGAGATTTTCCAACTCGTCTCACAGATCGTCATTTCTTATCACGTATACAACCACTTGAAGGTAAAAGTAGAATTCAAAAAAAGTGCCATGTTCATTCTCAAACTAAATTAGGTGTGCAGTGTAGAAAAGACACAGCATTTGAGTGCAAAGAATGTGGAAAGGCACTATGTTTAGAACCATGTTTTAAAGATTACCATACAAAACTTAAATATTAACTTAATTTTATTTTTGTAAATTGATAATTAAAAATTTAAACTGTTTTAATTTGATTTTAATTTTGAAAAGTTATATTGTATTATGTTTTTAAGAAAGAGAAATTTGTTAATTGTTAACGTTTTGTTTTAGAAAAGGTGATTTTTAATTTGAATTTATTTACTGTTTTTATTTAAACAATAATTTTGTTACATTTAGTTTTTGAAAAAGGTTATTTTTTATTTAAGTTTATTATAACTAATTTAATTCGATTAGTTCTGTTATAATATTCTGAAATACAAATGTATTAGTGTATTGTTTTACAAAAAGTGATTCTTTGTTTAAGATAATTAAATTTTGTTTTTCAAAAAGGCGTAATTATTTTTTGTTAAATCGAATTAGCTTAATTCTAAAATAAAATCCAAAACAATACAATATTAAGTTATAAAAAAAAAAATGTCATTAACGTCAATAGACGTCCTTACTACTTTATTAAAAAAAAACAGGAACGTCAATTGACGTTTTTACTATTTTAACACAAATATCTAAAACGTAAAATGACGTCTTTACTTTCGGAAATTTTCGAAATTTTTATGAAAACAATTCACTCTCTGAGTTATCCACGCAATATTTAATTCACTCTTCAAAGGGTTAATATATCTTTTTTTTTTTTTTTTGTAGATACGTGTTGTTGTGTAAATTGTACTGATGGAGATACGTAATATTACAAACTTGTAAGTTCTAGACAAGTGTTTTATTTTATTATATTATAGTTTTATTTAATACAATATTATAAATCAATTAAATAAGGATTAATACCTAAAATATAGTACTTTATAACTACGTCATACAATGTCTAAACGCCGTGTGCAGTCAATGTTAGATATGGCAAAAAAAAAATGTATTGAAACAGCTCCTGTAGTTGAATATTGTTAAAATGAACTTACAAGACAGGATATTTTAGAGGCTGATGTTGTTTATTTAGAATCATCTTTAAATATCAAAGAACTATTTACCATTTGATGCTCATAATGATAATGCAATGAGAACAAATAATTTAGAAGAAAACATTGCTGATTTAGGAAATGAAACAAACTCAAATGAAGAATCAAAAATGTATAATGTTATAAAATATATTGATACACTACAATATTATGAAGATTATGAAGAAAATACAAGTCTTGTTGAACTCAATCATCCAATACCTAACAGTAGTGAAATAAATACTGTTGACATTGATGAAATAGTGATTGATGATGTGCTTAGTAAAAAAAATAAAATTAAAACTAAAAAATATAATAAAGTATCCCGTGAAGAATCAAAATTAAAAAGAATGGCTGGGCAAGAGTACATGGGTTATAGTAGAAAAGGAAAAAATGTTAGCCAAGATCAACTAAGGAATAAAAGAAAAATGAAAGAAACATGTAACTCAAAAGTATGCAAAAAATCTGCATTTCGTCATTGTCAACTTTTTACAGAGACTCAAAGAAAAGAAATATTCCAGCAGTTTTGGAAAATTAATTGGGATGAAAAGAGAACTTATATCTCAAATGCAGTCATAAAAAAAAATCCTGATCGTTCTAGAGTATTGGAAGAAACTAGTAGGAGAAACAATACATTATGTTATTATCTTAAATATGAAAACTGTGATCGTTTGCAAGTATGCAAGAAAATGTTCATAGCTACTTTAGGAGTTAACGAGTGGATGATTCATAATTGGATTAAAGAATCCATTCATGGTATGCATAATCAAAAATCAAAAATAATGCAAGATAAAAGTGACAATGAAACAATTAAAAAAAGTGAAAGTTATATTCGTACATCAAAGGATAAAAGGAAGTTTCATCTTGATGCATGGGTTGAAAGTCTACCTATTATGCCATCGCATTATTGCCGTGCACGTTCCAATAGATTATATTTAGAAGGACCTTTTGAATCAAAACAAGAAGTGTATAATTTGTATGTTAAGCATTGTGCTGAGGAAAATGTTAGGCCTCTAAGTAAATCATATATATTTGAATTCCTTAAAGAAAAAAATTTTTCTATTTTTCATCCAAGAAAAGATCAGTGTGACACTTGTACATCATTTAAGATGAGACAAATAAATGAAAAGGAGTATGAAAATCATAAAAATATGAAAGACCGCGCACAAGATGAAAAAAAAAATGATAAAATGACTGCTGAAAACGATAGTCAATATCTTGTACTTACAATGGATTTGCAATCGGTTAAACTGTGCCCAATACTTAAAACAAGTGCACTTTACTATTCTATGAAATTAAAGGTACACAATTTCACCTTATATAATCTTGCAAATCATAAAAGTATTAACCACTGGTGGAATGAAACTGAAGGCGAGCTTGAAGCCTCAATTTTCTGTTCAATTATTACAGATTATTTAACTTCATACTTGGCTAAACATGAACAAGAAGGTTTGAATCAAAAACCAAATAAAATTATAATATATTCTGATGGATGTGGATACCAAAATCGTAACGTTATAATGGCTAATGCTTTATTCAATTTTTCTATTCAACATCAGGTACAAATCGAACAAAAATTTTTAGTGAAAGGGCATACACAGATGGAATGTGATGCAGTACATAGTGTTATAGAAAGAAAACTTAAAAATAAAGAAATTTACCTTCCATCTGAGTTTATTAGATTAACAAAAGAACCTAGAAAGCATCCAGAACCTTATGAAGCTAAATATTTGTCACATGATAATTTTTTAGATTTTAAAAATCATCATCACTATAAATCCATTCGCCCTGGACGAACAAAAGGAGACCCTGAGGTTAAGGATATAAGATCTCTAAAATATGATCCTAAAGCACAAAAAATTCAATACAAATTATCGTTTGATGATGATTATAAAGATTTACCACAACGAAAATCACAAATCAAAGACCTACCGTTAATCTACCCTAAGTTATACAAAGAACCGATTCCACTTACTAAATCTAAATGGGATGATCTTCAAAAGTTGAAACCATTTTTACCTATAGACACACATCCGTTTTATGAATCGTTACCTCATGCCAATGAACACAAACCAAAGACTGTTAAAATATGACATTTTTATATTATTATTATTATTATTATTAATTTATTATTTATATATTATATTGTTGGTTATGACAATTTATATTACATTTTATTGTTATTTTATTTTAAAGTACTAAATAATTATTATTTAATTTTTATACTGTTTAATATAAGTTACAAGATGTTAACTATTTTAAACTAAATTTATAACTATTTTTTTTTTTAAATACTTTTATTAAAAGACTTAAGTTTCTAGTGAAAAGTCATGAATTTCATTTTATTTGTTATACTGTTTTTATTATATTGTTATACTGTTTTTATTGTATTATTATAATGATAATAGCTATATATTTTTAATTCGTTAAAAAACAATAAAGAATGTTTGATTTATAGCCGTACTTACTAAATTAATTAGGTACCTAACCAATTAAGATATCATACAATTTACAAAATAAATATAGCAGGTTATAAGAAAAATAAAAAATAAATATGGACAGAAATAACTCGTATTACCAAAAAGGAGTGAAACAATAGCTTGTATCTCCAAAAGCAATTCCACGTATATCCAAAACAATTTACTAATAACACGTAAGTACCAGATATCTAGAAATTTTTACAGAAATTGGTTTTTTTCTGTTGAGTAGTCATATAACACGTAGTACTAACTTTAACTATCAAAATTAATTTTACATATAATGTGCAGTCAACATAAAATAGTTTTTTCACTCTCCTGAAAAATGTTCAAAATGGAGATACGTGTTGTTTACGTGTAGGTAACGATATGTCGCGCACGTACGTGATCGGGCGGTGGGTGGTGGCGGCGGCCAATTGATATGGAAGAGCGGGGTAGCGGGGTATATCGTATACGTCACGGATCGGGCGATGGCTCAGTTAACACGTTGACTGCCAGACGGCAGCCGGCGGTCGCATCGCTATCTTTCCTACAAAGCCACGTTCTATTTTCGATGTTATTCCATAATTGTACATTTGGATATTTATAGAACAAATAATCGAAAAAAATAATTCCGATATTATTATCTTTGTTATGTCTATCTGCATAAGAATATGATATTTAAAGTGTATGGTAGCCGGCGGTCGCATGGCGTTGTCATTATAATATAAATAGTCAGTTGCCATATGACCGCCGGCGGTCCTATATAATAAAATTTTGTGTGATTTTTTATTGTAATTTTATTTTTAATTATGGCGTCACGTCCAAAGAGACTTAAAGTTAATGACGATACAGTACGTCAATTATTAGATACTGATGATAGTGGAAGTTCATTAAGTGATTTTGATGACACAGATGAAGACCAAACCTACAACCCAATTATAACTTCTGATTCAGATGAACAAAGTGAAACCAGCGATACCGAACATTCACAAGACACAATATTACCGGTTTTAAATCCTAGTGTTCAAATTTGGTCCAATGTAACAGGTAATAATCAAAAACAGCTAGTTTTTAATGGTTTTCCGGGATTAAAAGTTAATATATCAGCTAGTGTTAATACTAGCTGACTGTTTTAATTTATTTTTTACTGATGACATTATTGAACTTATTGTTATTGAAACGAACAGAAATGCGGAACAGTTTTTATCAAATAATAGAATTTCCAAGTCTAGTAGGTTTACAAAATAGGTTCCTACAGATTCAATAGAAATTAAATTATTTTCTGGTTTATTAATATGGATGGGACTCGTTCAAATGCCAAATTTAGGTAGTTACTGGAGCACCAAACTTAGATATAAAAACAATGTGGCACAAAAAACGATGTATAGAAATCGCTTCGAATTACTTCTAAGATTTTGGCATTTTTCAGACAATAAAAAAGCCCCTGAAGGTGATCGTATTTATAAAATACGTAATATAATCGATAAAATTGTAAATCGTTTTCAAGATGTAATGGAACCAGACGAGTTATTGCCCGTCGATGAAACTATGGTACCTTTTCGTGGCAGATTATTATTTAGACAATATATACCGGGAAAAGCCCATAAGTACGGTGTAAAATTGTTTAAACTTTGCGGAACAAATGGTTATACTTATAACGTTCAAGTTTATGCTGGAAAGAGTCAAGTGGATGGAAAGGGATTGGGTTGTAGAGTTGTTCTAGACCTAAGTAGAAGATATTTAAACATGGGACGTACAATGGTAACGGATAATTTTTATACTTCAATTACACTTGCAAACGAACTTTTAACTAATGATACACACCTTGTTGGAACTCTGCGATCAAATAGAGTAAAATTATCTGAAATAACAAAAAAAAAGTTAAATCCCGGGGAAATAATCGGAAAGGAAAATTCAGATGGTATTATTGTTGCGAAATGGCGTGATAAAAGGGATGTAACTATGTTGTCGATCAAACATAATATTGATATGATTGACACAGGAAAAAAGAACAAAAAAAAAAGAATCGATAGTTAAGCCTAAAATAATTGTCGACTACAACTCCAGAAAAGCGGGAATTGATCTATCCGATCAACTGTCTAGCTATAGTAGAGCTGTTCGTAAGTCTATACGTTGGTACCATAAGGTGGCAACAGAAATATTGCTTGGAATTGCTATGGTAAATGCTTTAATTGTTTACAATACAATTAATTCTGATAAAAAAATGAAGATAACACAATTTCGAGAAACATTAGTTGATACAATACTTGGATTAGACAATCAAGGATCACAAGAAGTACAACAAGCAAGAGTTAACAGCAAACACATATTCCAAGAAACAACAGAAAAATGTAGTAGAAATAGAAAAATCAGAAAGAGATGTTTCCAATGTTATCAAAGTAGAACGGTAATAGTTGGATCGAAACAGGCATCGAAGGAAGTAAAAAAGATCACTACATTCTGCGCACCATGTAAATCTTACACATGTATAAGTTGTTTCAATCTACATCACACAGGCTAAGGATTTTCATTATTTTTTACATATATTATTTATAAATACGTCTTGATATTTATGTTTTGTATTAAATTTATAATTTGTATTATGTTTATATTTAAGAATTGAAGTTGGAAACATATTATTTGAATAAAAAAAGTGATTGCATTTTTTTTTTATGCTTATTGTAGTGATATTTTACGTATATTAATAAGTGTATATAAAATAATCGGTTTGCGACGAATAATATATCACTATACGCGAAATTTTCTCCTATCATTTAAACATTATCTTCATAACTTTGACGCCACGAAAAATATTCCCCTTTACAAATAAGTGTGTTTATGGCAGCCCGCGGTCATATGGCGTATAAACAGGGGCGGACTGGGAATAAAAATCGGCCCCGGGGAAACAGAAAATTCGACCCAAAATTTTGAAAATTACTATTTTACTTTTTTAAATTAATTAATAAAGAAATACAAATAATAATATACTAGTATATATAATTAACCATAACAAAATTACATGTTTTAAAATCAAAAAAATTTAAATGTTTATAATAATATATGAAAACTAATTGTTAAGAAAAAAATACATATACATGCATATTATATTATTTTATATACCTACTCGTACATAATATATAAATTTATTAAACAATATTTTTTTTTAAATAAAATATGATTTTACTTAATTAACCTTTAATGTAATAAAAGTTTAGACATCAAAGGGCTATTCTTAGCAAGTATATCTTTGACTTCTTCATTTCCGACTTCCATGAGAGTTTTTTTTTTCGATAGCCATGAACAAAAATGCTTGAAGATGATCTTGATTCATTGAATTGCGAATTCTAGATTTTATTATTTTTAGCTTAGAAAAGCTTCTTTCACAAGCTACTTGAGTCACTGAAAGTGTTAACAAAAACTTATACGCAGTATAAAGTGATTTGTATGTATTTGTATGCATATTATACCTAGAAATAACTATATAACAACAGACTGGACAGTTTTTACAAAACTGTTTAGAATTTGTACATTTCTCTCTATCTGTACCTTGTAAAATAAATTGGTTGTTTATAGATTCAGAGCCAGATTCATTAGAACTTTCACCAGAATAATCGTCTACATTTTTATCATAACTCTCAGGCACAGTATATTTTATGGATGGCCAGTTTTCTTTAAAGTCAAACAATTCATGTCGTAAATTTTCTGGCGTAGCAGTTTTGTCAAAGAAAATGATTAAATCACTTAAACGTGTAAATGCTTCTTTAGATATAGTATCATTTATATCTTTAAAGTTGGTTGGATCTAAAATAGATAAATCTGAGTATAATGAGCCATGTTTTGTAAATCGTTCATTTAGTTTGTTGATAATTGTATCCATAACTATATTGTGAACAGTTATTTTGTATTTTTCAAGTGGATTAATTATAGGTTGGTCTCTTGTTACCTCACCTGGAAATTTTTTTTTAATTTTACGACGAACCGTACTTTCATCTGGGAACTGTGATTCAAGAATTTCGTCACAATCAACTTTTTCCAACTCTTTTTCTGCCCACATAATAAATGAATCAGTAGCTTCTTTTACTTTTTGAAAATCTCTAGATATTTCTTGTAAATATGTTATAGTATTAGAAACCATCCTATACGCTTGAACTAAGTCCATTCCACTTGTTTGCAAATATTTTGACAATAGTGACATACGTTCAAATATCTGTAAGTATAGTTGTGATGTCATGACAAAACTATATTTTAAAAATGAGTCCTTTAATGTAATAGCTTTATATCGTGTTTCTCGATTAAACTTATCAGAATTTGCAATTTTAGACATAACTGAAACTAAAACAACATATAACGCACTTTCAGGCATACCAAAGTGCCCAAAAATAGTTGTAATTGACGATTCTTTAGACCACCACCTTGTATCTCCTGCTTTTGCTAATCGTTTGTTGTTTCCACATAATTCTTTCCATACATCCATTCTTTTATACGATTCTCTTAAAAAAATGGCACATTCATTAAGAAGACTAAAAAACTTGACACTTTCAATAGTTATTTCTGTCACATCAATCATAACTAAATTTAAACAATGTGCATAGCACCATACATGCAACTGAGATGGATTTTCATCTGACAAATATTTAGAAAATCCTTTATAGCGCCCTTGAATGTTTGATGCACCATCTGTAGAAGATCCAATACAATACTTTAAATCAACACCATTTGCTTCCAAAGTTTCTTTGACTAATTGGAACATAGATTCTCCTGTAGATGATTTTACATTTGTCACAGCTATAAGTTTTTCTTTAACTGAGTCGGTTAAATACCTTATTATAATTGAGCATTGATCTTCAACTTTCACATCTTGCGTTGTATCAATTTGTATAGAAAACATTCCAGCACTTTTAATTTCATTAGCAATGTTTTGTCTCATTATTTGACAAATTATTTGTATAATTGAATTGATGGTGGTTTTAGAAAAAAATGTTACTAAACTACCTCTGCCAGTTTTGTTTTTTTGATGGGCTTTTTTACTTTTTAAAACTACATAATCCAAATGATTTTTCAATATGGGATCGAATTTACCCAAGAGTATAAGCATTTCAATGAAAGTACCATGGTCTAAAGTTTCATCTGTTAAGCTATACGCAGCTTCGTGCCGTTTACCACGAAAACTTAATCCTCTTTTTCCTATTGTTTTTATAATTTCTATAATTCGTTCCAATATTTCCCTATTTTTTTGTACTTCAAGCTGTTTCAATGTTATTTGCTTTATAAAAATTAGATTTTTTACATCTGCTTTATTTAGATTCAAAAAGTAAGCCTCAGTATTATTTTTATGCTGTTGACTATTTTCATGTCGTTCTAAAGTAGAGTACAAATGTTTTGGATTAAATTCAGATACACCCGTAACAAGACAGATTTTATCATTTGCATCACCATACACTAAGCAACACGTACAAAAAAGTGTTTTTTTTTCATGAGAAAAAGTCAACCATTGATGATTTGAACCATCTTTACGTTGAAAAACTAGCATCGGGTTGAATGGTAAAATACCTTGATATGGCTGAATAGGATGGTATTCGAAAAATTGATTTCTTTCATTTGGTAATGGAGTACAAAAAAAATTAATTGATGAATTATCATAAGTTTTCTCAATGTTTTTAGATAAATCAGAAATATCTATTTCATTTTTGGTATTACATTTAACAGGCTTAACAATGGTATCGAGGTTTATGTCGGATGATGTACTTGCTTGTAATTTTAAAGATTGATCTACGGTTATACTAGAAATATTTTTAAAATTGTCATTTAAAATAATTTCGGTGTTTTGATTTAAATGAGAATTATTTAAGGCTAGAGAGAATTATTGGACGTAATATTGATATTTTTTGAAGAAATAAAAAATGAATCTAGATTTTTGCATTTAGATGCTTCTGAAATTAGTAATTTGTTTTTCTTTTCTCTTTGTTTTTGTGCACCACCTTTACGTTTTTTGTCCATCTTGTTTTGGAACTAGACAAACACTAAAATCAATTATTTTCAATTTATTTTTCGCTGATTAAATTAAAATTAAAATAAAAAAATTGTGCCTGGCGTAGATATTTAAAAATAATTTTTAAATGCATATCGCATATGGTAACAAAGATGTGTCATGAAACGCATTTAACATTTTTAGCTTAGCGTATTTGAGGGGTAGTCAAAACGTACTATTATCAAAATTGACAAAGTTGAGTTAGATATCGATTTTTATGAGAAAAAAAACGTTGATAAATCAATTAGTGTCACAAGAATAGACCAAAACGTACCAGACAAATCAGCTATTTAAAATGACTAGTTAATCCAAAACGATCCTTTTCCATGCATAAAAATTATATTTAAATAACCAAAATGTATTTTTAAATTTTTTTTTTATATTATGCTAAAACGTACCTACTATTTCCTGTGTTGTAAGTGTAGGAAAATAAAATAGTTATTCCTAAACTTAGGTACTGAAATATAATTTATAATTTAAATATTAAATTACTATCACAATCATTTATTTGTTTGGAATTAAATTTAAAAAATAATCCTACGTTATTAAACTTATTTGAATCATTTTAAATAATAAATAGAAATAATGCATTGTAAAATAATTTAAAAAAAATACCTCGTCTTCAAAATGACTTATCTATTTTATATGTCTATTTATATGTGTTTTGTTTATATTGATAATAAGTATGTTCCCGTGAATATTTACTACGACCACAATGCAATCATTGTTTGTTTCTCTTTTAGTTGCATACGTGTTTTATAATAATAATATATATATTTTTATTGAATTTATTATTTAAGAATTAATAATAAATCAAATTAGCAAAATCGCAATATTTCGTGTTTAACTGTCTTTTTTCTATAAGTTTCAGGAGATGCAAAAAAAGTTAAAAATGTTAAGCTTTACAATTCTAAATTACCAATTTTATTAAACATTTTTTAGAAAAAATAAGAAATTTAAAAAACTTTTGTAATAAATAATAACTAATATCTATTCATATCGTCGATATACCAATTACTAGTTATTATAGTAACTAATACATTTACAGCACTAATTTGTATGTACAAATAAGTAATAATTCTGTTTTAAAATTTTTTATTTAATATTAGTATATAGTATAAATAGTATAAAGAATTTAAATAACTGTCAGTAGTTTTTTAATAATATAAAATTATAATTTTTACGCAGCTTATTGCTTAAATGTTATGTGTCATATAATTTCTACATCTTAGGAAATAGGAATATGTACACTACGTGTTTAGTAAAAGTCCGAATAAAATTAAGAATTTCAACATATTTACTGAGTAGGTATAAACAGTAAAACATTGTTATTTGTTAACTATTAGATCTAGGTTTATCTAGTGATCGGGTTAGTCGTTCTGTTACATTTGTTGCGTCCGTTATGTCAACGTCGATACATATATCAACGTAGAAATAGAAATACTAATGTTTGCAAGTTAAAAGATTAAGTCTTTATTTAATACAATTAACTCGTACAAGAATACAATTTTATAAGCACAAGATGGTGTGAGTGGTGTTACGACCTGCCTCTGAAATACTGATAGACGAGACCGTGAGTGGTGTTACGACCTGCCTCTGAGCGTCTCGAATATCCCTAACCGTCTGCTGAGCTCTTGCCCTGATCTCCCTTATATATGGTTAACCGTCAAGAGTGGTGACTGAGGAGGTGGTGACTTCCGATGACCTAAAGGAGCTCTCTAAATTAAATGTATTATTCAGTTGGGTGCCTTTCCTGCGATTTCATCGGTTCTAAGAATTACAAGACGTGTGATCAAGTCTTAATTGTCATATTAAATAGTACAATGTTAACACTATCGTTTACTCATCATTTCTGAGAAGTCCAGGACGTGTGATCATGTCTTATTCATTATATTAAATATCACGATGTGCAGGTGATCGCCATAGCCGTTCGATACTACACTGTTTGAATATGTTATTCCATCGGTATACACATCACCTCTTCGTATAATATATATGTGTAAAATAACACGGTACGTAACACATTACTGTACAAGTACAAACTTATTAATTAATATTAATTATTCAATATACAAGTAAATAATTACTTACTAAATACTGAATATCAAAAAGCCACAAAAAAAAAAAATGATTCTGGCGTACAGCAATAACCCAGTGAACAAAGTATTATCCAAAAAATAAAATACAATTCGGCGGCAGTCGACGAAATGTCACTTATCACTATATTGTCTTGATGTTGTTGTGTTGTGCGATGACTGCGATGTAATAAGATTTATAAATTATAAGCATTTATAATCATACAACCACGGATTTTTTCTAAAATTAACTTTGGTCTATCATGACCATGGGTAAAATTTACAGCGATAAGAAATCATTTGTTACATTTACATGCAATAGAGTTCTCTCGTGGCGCAGACTATTATAAATTATAATAGTCATTACTCATTAATATAATATTATTTTATTATAACAATATCAATTATTCTATATTACAATTTTTACGTTTATTCAGTTTTAATTTTATCGGCCCAAAATAATTTAAGCAGCCCAAAATTTTACCGGCCCAAGCGGGGATCGCCCACTTGCCGCCCTAGCCAGTCCGCCCCTGCGTATAAATAATACAAAGGTGCGACCGCCGGCGTCCGTAAAAATACTGTTGTATGCTAGTAGTCTGCGGACGCCGGCGGCCGCATGGCAGTCAACGTGTTAACCCTACAATGCATGGTGTTGCTTCTCGGCAACAACCGATAAAAACGGTTATAATCAGATATTTATCTATGTCAGTTATTGTATATTAGCTTTAATCACAATCAACTATGATAATATATTACGTGATTTACTTTCAAATCGATAGATGGTAGTATATAATTAGAAAAATTAAACTATTTATCGATAGACCGGTACATACAAATGTGACAATATTCTGGGTTTTTTTTTAATAATTTTTAATTGTTAAATATGTCTATGGATAACAATAAAAATATAACAGTGTTGATATATATCTAAATTTTAGATAATTTCCAACGTTATACAGATAAGTCAAATATTTTATTTGTAAATCAATAATGAACGGTTGTTGCTCATACGCAACAGTATGCATTTAGCACTTCACGGGACGTACATTTTTTTTGACGTAATTCAGAGCCGTATTTTTGCGTGTTTTATTATTTAACTTTTTACATCATAAATTTGTACTTTTTTTCATTATGTGTAGAAGACATTTATTTGACAGAGAAATCGTACAATTGTTGGAAAATGAACCTCCATCTGATTCCGAAGATGATTTGGAATCTAGCGACGAACAAAATATATATATAGATAATAATATAGTTGATTTAGAGGCACTCGATAAATATTTAGAAAATATTGATGACGATGAATTAGACCCGTTTCTTAATTCTATAAATTTATTAGATAGTAATTTAGATATTAATGTTGTCATGGAAGATGTTGAATGTGAACCTGACAAGGACAGCTCATCGATACCTCTTCCAAATTATATTTCTGTACAGACGCATACAAAAAATAAAATATATAAAACTCCAGACTTCAAAATTAAAAATTTAAGAAAAAAAGTTAAATTTGATATACCCACTCCTCCTTTTGTTGCTAAGCCTCAGTCTAAAATAAAAAACAAAAAAAAGCAAAAATTGGATATTTCATGGAAACATGAAAAATTGTCTACCCAAAATGTAGACTTCTCTGGTAACTCTGAACTTTCAGATGAAATTTTAAATTTAAGTACTCCTTATCAAATATTTGGTTACTTTTTCCAAGATGATCTAATTAGATGATCTAATATTGTGTATGAAACATTGATATATAGTGTACAAATAGACCCAAATAAAAATTTTAAAATAATTTCAAATGACGTAAAAAAATATTTAGGAGTTTGTCTATTAATGGGCTTAGTAAATATTTCTAATATTCGAAAATACTGGTCTCCAAATTTAGGAAATAAAATTATTCAAGAAACGATGAGCATTAACCAATTTGAACAAATTCGACAATTCATACATTTTAATAATAATGATAATATGTTACCTAAAGGCCATATTGGCCATGACAGATTACATAAAATTAGGCCAGTTATGGAAACTTTGAAAAAACGATTTGCATCTATACCTTTAGAAGAAGCTGTATCTATAGATGAGCAATTATGCTCAACTAAAGCTCGTTATTTCCTTAAGCAATATCTACCGATGAAACCCCATAAGTGGGGGTACAAATTTTTTGTATTATGCGGTGTATCTGGTTTTTCTTATAATTTTGAAATGTATAGTGGTCAGGAAAACAATGATGATAATAGGTATTCATGGGAACCAGATTTTGGCGCTTCGGGAAATGTAGTCGTTCGACTATGTAGAATAATTCCGAAAAATATGAATTATAAAGTTTATTTCGATAATTACTACACATCTGTACCATTGATGGTGTATCTGAAAAACCGTCAAATATGTTCTTTGGGAACGGTTCGAAGAAATCGCTTAAATAATGTCTGTTGCGTCCCTTATGTCAACGTCGATTCATATATCAACGTAGAAATAGAAATACTAATGTTTGCAAGTTAAAAGATTAAGTCTTTATTTAATACAATTAACTCGTACAAGAATACAATTTTATAAGCACAAGATGGTGTGAGTGGTGTTACGACCTGCCTCTGAAATACTGATAGACGACACCGTGAGTGGTGTTACGACCTGCCTCTGAGCGTCTCGAATATCCCTAACCGTCTGCTGAGCTCTTGCCCTGGTCTCCCATATATATGGTTAACCGTCAAGAGTGGTGACTGGGGAGGTGGTGACTTCCGATGACCCTAAGGAGCTCTCTAAATTAAATGTATTATTCAGTTGGGTGCCTTTCCTGCGATTTCATCGGTTCTAAGAATTACAAGACGTGTGATCAAGTCTTAATTGTCAAATTAAATAGTACAATGTTAACACTATCGTTTACTCATCATTTCTGAGAAGTCCAGGACGTGTGACCATGTCTTATTCATTATATTAAATATCACGATGTGCAGGTGTTCGCCCTATCCGTTGGTGCTACACTGTTTGAATATATTATCCCATCGGTATACACATCACCTCTTCGTATAATATATATGTGTAAAATAACACGGTACGTAACACCTCCCTTCCAAAAAAAAGATTTATGTTTTGTAAGAAACAGAAATCTTAAAAATTTGCGTATTATCTTAATTTTTAAGTGTTAGTGGTTTCACATTTTTTCCTTTTCTTTTGTTACATTTTCTCTTAATATTAGTATTAGTATTTTGGTTTATGATAAAATATTATTTTGCTACTTATTAGCAATTACAATTAAAAAAAATTTCTTAATAACTAACACGATTTTAATCAATCATGTTTACACCTATTTCATACATGGAAGTTAATATCATATTTTCCTATTCCTGAAAATACAAATTTTTGTTAATAATATTAATAATACATTATTAAAACAGCTTTTATAACTGTTTCATGATTTCACTTAATCATGTTTTACAAATTTTTTTTCTGCTATAAAATAATTATACAAAACTGAAATTAATTTAAATATAAATACATAAATTATATATTTTCTTTAGTCATAGTGTTCTTATGGAAATTTTACGTTAATGTAAGTTAAATTATTATAAAATATATTATTTTTCTCTTTTTTTTTTTTTATATGTCCTTATTTTTTACGTCCGTTGCAGCTATAGGTATAGATACAATGGTTTCTGTTCTAGGTTTTAAAACTATATTTTTATTATTAACGTTTATTTCTAATGTCTTATTTGCTAAATTTATTATCGAATTATTTTCCGTTAGGAAACTATTACCTATTATACCGTTTCTCTTTATTGGAAAATTCTTACTAACTAAATTAAACTCTGTATATACGCTTTGCCCATGAAATATTAATGGTATTGTCACTTTCCCTAAAGTTTGTATTATTTGGTCATTTATTACCCTAAGATATACTTTTTGTGTTTCGTCTATTGTTAATCCGTCGCATATAATATCATTTTTTATTACGTTCACTTCACTACCTGTATCGATAAGAAATTCTAACTCTTTAATTTTACAAGCAGGTGAAATGCATTTTACATGGTTAATACTATTTATTGTTGTGAGTACTGTTGGAAGGCAATCTCTGATGGATCCACGGTTATCGTTTGTATCGCACGCGCCCCGTGTGTCGCGAGAGAGTTCGGCCCGTTTCCCGAGTTATTACGACGTTCGTCGTTTTGTTTTTTATAACATACCGCGATTGTATGCCCCGTCTTATTACAATACGTGCAGGTGTCGCGTGAATTTATGAGCATTGCATGGTAGTATGGTACATAAAAAGCTTTAGAATTTAATTCAAGAATTCTTGCTTGGACACCACTGTTTTCCGCGCATATTCGCGCCGTTGTCATAACCTTGACCTCTCATATCTTCAAGGTCAACTTCAAATTCTATTAATTTATCCAAGAGGACTTTTGTCATATTAAATCCGGATGTATCATATAGTTGGATAAAATCTACAAAGTGTTCATTTATGGTGACTTCACCAGTATCCTTTGAAATTGTCACGAATCTGAAAATCATGGTCATTTGTTCCTTATTGCTAATATCTGGCGTACAATCGAGAACAATTGAATAATATTTCGCTTCTTTCAAACATTTTAATATATGAAGTCTAATTTTTTTTGCCAATAAATAAATTATCTCATTTTGTATCTCTTTTCCAAGATAATGAGTATGTATTTCATCGGAGGTTATTCTTCTTATATGTTCCTTCATAACTGGATCAAATTGACCTAAAAACTCAATGAATTTTAAAAAATTTCCATTATTTTCTACATTAAGTTTATCGTAAGTTCCCCGTAGAGCTAAGTTTTGATTTCCAAGTACTTATTAAAGATATTATTCTTTCTATAACTTGTCTCCAATGTTGAATTTCCGTTTTTATCATTTTTTCATTTATATTGTCTATGGTTTTTGAATTATTTATTCTTATTTCTAGTTCTTTCCATTTAAGAAATGATGTTTCATGGTTTGGAGATCGTTCATGTTGTTTTAAAGTTTCAGCAATGTTCTTCCAATCATGATATCCCTCTTTGCCTAAAGATGATTTTGTCTCATTAAATAACTTGCAGCAATAACAAAATATAGAATCACCCGTACTAGAATATACTATCTATGATCGTTTTACCTCTATTTCATTACTTAATTTTCTAAAAAAATGATTAATTGTAAATCTTCGACCTGTATCATCTTTTGGGTACGATTTCGAATATATTTGATAGGGGCCCTTTTGAACTAATAACACCCGTATTTTATCACAAATAGCTGGCCACCTCTTTGGATCTTTTAATAATTCAAGGTCAAATGAATCTGCATGTGTACCTGTTACTAGACTAAAATCTTGATCATTTTGTTCAACCATTTCACAATCAGAATTATTGAGTAACGATACATCTTTTACAATGGAAAGTGTTAAGTTATTCGCTTCATTACCCATAATCAACATATTTTTCATGGCATTCAATACTTTCATAATAATCGTCTTTAGTATTTATTGAAGATACACTAAAACTATTTTTCTTATCTGGGGAATAATTAGATTTTACAGTTAAATTACCATCTTTTTCTAAGTTAGATTCTGAAACATGCGTTTCTATTTCCACAATAGCCTGCACATTATCATTTACACCAGTATTGTCACTTTCAATTTCTGAATTTTCTGAAGAAATATTATTATTTTTTTTATTTTGGGAATTACTAGTCGGCGCTTGTTGAAAAAAATTTAAAATACATTCTTTTTGTTTAGATATTTCTAATTCACGTGCTACACGTTTTTTCTTGTATTCTGCTCCTGACAACCGAGTACGTTTAGACATTTCAGATTTTAGATTTAGACTTTTCTTTTTTTCGAAATTCTAAGAAAAAATGTATATCAGTAAATAAAATGTATTGTTAACTAATAATATCATATTTAAATTATTGATTAATTATTATTTTATTTCATTAATGAATTGAATAAATACAAATATACAATAGATACTTATTAAGGGAATATCAAATGTACCGTTTTTTTCAGACTAATAGATCAATTTGAATTTTTTATATAGATTAAGGTACAATAAAATAATATATACAATAACACAAACATCTTATTAATATTGTTTAAACATAAGATTTGGCGCCGCGACATTTTGCTCGGGTGCGCTTGCGCGAATATCGGCCGGAATCGCCAGCACCGGTTCCGACGACTTTTGTCATCGCTGAGCTTTAGTTCTTTTTCCGCCGTCGTCCGGACCTTTGTCGACGTATCGGTGTGCGCACCCTTTGTTTTTACAACATCGTGTTCAGCGCGTGTGTTACCAGTTCTCGGGTGTGAGACTAATTGCAGTAATAGCGCAATACGCTACGCAAGTACAGGGTGCGTACGACGTCTCAATATATTATATTATAGAAAGCTGGGCGGAGTTCAACGACCGTTGTCGCCGCCGTCAAAAGTGACATTTGCTGATATAATTTATGTTGGGCAATCTAGGTTTTGTCACCATACTCCACCGTCAATTGATGTGACCAGCGGTATCGTTACCTATATTATTATATTACTATTTGTATTTACTACTAAGTAACCATTTTATATATTGTTTACTTATTACTGTATTATTTTCACTCTTGTCTTGTTATTATTATTATTATTATTATTATTATTACTACTGTTTATATTAATCTTGATATTGTATAACTACCCCCAAAGAGACGTCTTTGCCCGGTAGATAAAATTATTTTGTTTTGCTATAATATAATAAGTATTTTTTACGATATACAACATTCCGTTGTTATATGTGAATTTCCCAAACATCCCGCAAGTCGTGTTGCAAACTACACCAGCAAGTGCATACGGCGTAACAAATATTAAAAATAATAATCTTTGTAATTACTAATAAATTAGCATCGCATAAAAAAGTTAAGATTTACTATATTTCATTATAATTCAATAAAAGTATATTATTATGAATAGACAGAAATATACCCTACGTTTAATTTTCATACAGTCAATAGTCTACAATACAAATTCGTGAGAACGAATAACTTTAATACTATTCATGCTAATATATTATGTTTGATAAAACTTTGTCATTACTTATTATCATCTTATCATGTACTTGATATCAGTTTTATTAACCATATATTTTTAAGGTTATGGTTGTATTTTATAGTAGCTAGTACGCGCTCATTTTGGTTAGACGCAACACTGTTTTTTTTCATATACAAAAAAGAAAATACAGTCCATTCTCGACATTCAATAGAAAAACCTCATGTTCTTTTTTTACACTCATATACTTAATTTTCTAATACATTAATGGTCCTTCGAGCCGGATGCATCAGTTTTTTACATCCATTCGCATCGACTCGTACACAAGTGCGTTCGATACCTGCACAATTACACAAGTAAATTTACATGCGGCGTACGAAATGTTTAGTTCCGTACGTCTAGTTACGCTCGCGTAGTTATCGTTTCCTTCGCCTATAACACATTCGCATCGTGGTAATATACATTCACAATGGATCTTAAGACGCTCAAAAACAAAGACAAACTCATTCTGAATAAACGAGAGAAGCTGACCGAAGACGTAGTTAATCGCTATACAGATGAGGAAGCTCAACTTCAGTTGAACTTACTGGAAGATGCTTTCAGTAAGTACAACGAAGCCTACGATTTGAAAATAGTGGAAGCCAACGATGAGGAGATGGACTAGCTCATAGAGGATTTAGAAACGGTCAGTGACTACTATGTTAAATCTAAGGGTAAATTAACAGGTCGGTTACATGAGCGGACAGCTGCGACAAGCATGTCTGAAAAAAGTGAAAACTCTAACAATACACTTAGACTGCCACCGATTAATATACCTACATTTGAAGGGGATTTCAATGATTGGTATCCATTTAAGGACCAATTCATCTCCATCATCCATTCTAACACCTCTATCGACAACACACGTAAGATGTACTACCTCAAGTCGAGCTTGAAAGGTGCAGCAGCTCAAATCATCGAATCAATGCCAACTATTGGGGACAATTACCTAGAAGCGTGGGCACTCTTACTAAATAGGTACGACAACGAACGCCTAATTGTACAGAGCCATGTTCAACAACTACTGACACAAACCGTTCATCAAACGGAAACCGCCGTGGGCCTAAAGTCATTACTTGACAGCACAAACAAACATTTAAGAGCACTATCAGTACTACAACAACCAGTAGACAAGTGGGATGCTATCATTATCGGCATCGTTGCGACACGTTTGCCTACAGAAGTGAGAAGATGTTGGGAAATCGAGTCTGCGTCTTATCCTGAAATACCTACATGGACAAAACTTAAGAGATTTATTGAGAATCGATTACAAGCCTTGAATATGTTACAATACAAACCTAGCACTGTAAGTAATGTTATCAATGCTGGTAAGACAAAACAGTTCGTTAGAACTACAGCGCATTTGGCTACTGATAGTCAAACCATCAATCAGTGTTCAATATGTACACAGAATCACATCATTTACAAGTGCAATACGTTCATGAAGTCGAAACCCAGTGAAAGATTGAATTTAGCAAAAAAGGCAAAAATATGTTTTAATTGTTTGCGCACAACACATGGTGCGAATCAGTGCACAAATGAAAAGACTTGTAAAAACTGTGGTTTAAAACACCATACACTATTACATTTGGACATAAAAAAGGTCAATACACCAGAGGGTGAAAATACTACAAGTGAACAGGAAAAGGAGCATGGATTTCAAAGTACAACATCTCATCTAGGAGCGGCATACCCTACCACGTCTCAGAACATCATATTATCAACAGTATTAGTACATGTGAGTGGCAAGAATGGTCGAACAGTGTTATGCCGAGCACTACTAGATTCTGGATCACAATCACATTTTGTTACATCGTCTTTGATAACAGAACTAGGTATTAACAGAACAAAAACACGTTATGATTGTCAACGGTATCTCTTCAGCAGAGACGACTGTTACCGAGATGGCCGAGTGCACAGTGACGTCACGCTTAAACCACAAGCAGTATCAAATCACTGGCTTGGTAACACCAAGTATTACTGTTAAATTACCTGTCAACAAACTGGACACATCAAACTGGCATCATTTACAAGGCATACAATTGGCTGACCCTACATTCCATTTACCAGGAAAAATTGACATGCTCATAGGAGCTGAATTCTTTTATGACATTCTTCAAGATGGCAAACATGTTGGACCAAAGGGTACTCCTATATTACAGAATTCAAGGTTTGGTTGGATCGTGGCAGGTTGCAGTAACAACATAATAAAAGATGATCTCGCACATATTACTACAAATGTTATTACATGTTGTGCCACGTATCAGCAACTTGAGAAACAAATTGAAAATTTCTGGAATATAGAAGAAGTGCCCAGAGTGACAATTATGTCAAAGGAAGATCAAATCTGTGAAGACCACTTTATTAAAACATTTAAACGCAACGAAAATGGACGTTATGTTGTTCGATTGCCGTTTAAGGAAACTCCACATTCTATGAACAGTTCATATGACATTGCTGTACGAAGACTAGCTCAGGTGGAGAGGTCTCTCATTCGAAATCCGTCGGTGTACAACCAGTATCGTGAGTTCATGATTGACTATCTTCGACAAAATCACATGGAACCTGTGCAACCCACTGAAGACAGTCCGGTCATCTTTCTACCTCATCATCATGTTTCACGTCCCTCAAGCGTCACTACCAAATTGAGAGTTGTATTCGATGGATCTGCTCTCATCTATAATGGAAAATCATTAAATGACATGTTACATCGAGGTCCTAAGCTACAAAGAGACATTGTAAGAATTATCACTAGATTTCGAATGCACAGATATGTTTACACTGCTGACATACGTCAGATGTTTCGACAAATAAATATACACTCCGATGATCAGTGTTATCAAGGCATTGTGTGGCGAAATCACCCATCAGAACCAATAGAACAGTTCAAATTGAAAACTGTCACCTATGGTTTAATAACTTCTCCGTATCATGCTCTCCGTACACTAGCTCAACTAGCTGTTGATGAACAAGTGAATTATCCAGAAGGATCCACAATACTTAAGAATGACTTCTACGTTGATGAAGTCATGTCAGGATGTAACGACATCAATGATGCTAAAGCCCAAATACAGCAGTTGATTGACCTTCTTCACCAAGGTGGATTTGATTTGAGAAAGTGGGCCAGCAATACACTAACCCTTTTAGAAAATATTCCAGCTGAACACCAAACGTTGCAGATCTCAATGCCCGAGCAAAACAGTGTGTCTGTGTTGGGAGTTTCATGGAACACTACAAGAGGTACCTTTTCATTAAAAAGTAAAACCTCTACCATCTTTGGAACGCATCACTAAACGCGAATTATTAAGTGAAATTGCACGCACTTATGACCCATGTGGATGGCTTGCGCCACTTATAATCGTCGCCAAGATACTCATGCAGCAATTGTGGCAGACTGGCACCGAGTGGGATGATCCTGTGCCTAACCAACTACTTGAACATTGGATCGCTCATCGGACATCATATAACCATTTACAACATTTTGAAATCCCACGCCATGTTGGTAACATCATAGATTGCCAACAAGGTTGCTTCTTACATGGATTCTCCGACAGCTCTGAACGTGCCTATGCCGCTGCTATCTATATCGTTTCAAACAACACTGGACATTTACTGGTGTCAAAAACAAGGGTTGCACCATTAAAAAGGATTACCATACCTAGACTGGAATTATGTGGTGCTACACTATTAGCACAACTGATGCACTCATTGATGGAATCACTCCAATTAAAAATTGATACAATAACAATGTGGACAGACTCCACAGTCACATTACAGTGGATACAAAGTGATGCCAACAAATGGACCACTTTTGTATCCAACCGAGTGAGTCAGATACAGTCATTAGTTCCGAGAGCTGAATGGCGACATGTACGTTCTGCGGATAACCCTGCTGACCTGGCATCCAGAGGAGCTTCTGGTGATCAACTCGTAAATAACCATTTGTGGTGGCATGGACCCAGCTGGCTGTCTGAAAAGGACAAGTGGCCAGATGTCAATTCAAAAACTAAGACGGTTTCAGATGCAACTGAAGAGTTAAAACATTCACCTACTATCACTGTAGTTTTTAATCCTTTAATAATTATGGTTGGCCAAACTTTTAATGCACCAAGATGAATAGATAATTCAAAATCCGCAAATATATATTCAGGAGAACAACATAAATTTAATTTAAAACATTCAGTTTTTAATATATTAAAACATTTTGCATATGATTCGCATTCTTTATTATTAAGTAAAAAATACACTAAAGGTATGTAATGACCATTACTTAAGCCGTGTATTGTAAATAATTGTAAAAAAAATTTAGTACAATACTTAAATGTACCATCTACATATATAGTCTTAACAGTACTTAAAGTATTTAAATTTTTTTCACATGAAAACATTACTATATTTTGATTACTGTCATTTACCATGAGAAATTGTTCGTCGTCATAAGTTTTGATTTCTAACGAATCCAATACTTCATGTACATTTTGAATATTACATGGTCTTGCTGGTAGTTTTGATCGTCTTGCCAAATATATACTTTTGCGAAAGCAATTCATATCAGTTTTATTTAATGTATCGGTGTTAATTTTCTTAAGTTCATGATGTATTAATTTAAGTGGCCGTTCACAAATTTCATCCTGTGCTTTTCTTTTTAATGAATTACGAATAACTTGTCTAACCATAATGTCTTTTACGTCTTTTTCATGGTTATGATCTAATTTATTCTCTATAACAGTATCTCCACTTTCATCGGTTTTAAAATATGCTTTACACTTTTTGTTTGTACAATTCCATCGTTTAACATTATTATTTAATATTTTATGAAATCTTAATTTATACCCTTCAATAATTTTTATTTCCTTACCGTGTTGACTTAGCATGTTTTCGGGCAATGACATTTTTAAAATTTGCAAATTGATAATTTGTATTATATAATATTACGGCGTTACTTCGCACACAATTTCACTATAGCACTTATTGACCGTAACTGAGTATGTTTTAACTTGTAATCGAGCAAAATTATTATCGGAGCTAAAATTAATTTCCCCACCGTTTCCAGTATTTTACAGTCATAAATGTACAAATGAAAGTATTATAGTTGTACATTTTAACCACCATATCGATCGTTAAACATGTAGATATCTTAAAAGTTCGATTATTTTATCTTAAATAAATACCTATAGCAACTGTGGACCGAGGACGCACTCGGGCTATTCATCATAATTTGTCGATAAGACGGCGGACGCACTCGGGTACTGTAATATAATTTGTCGATAAGACTGCGGACGCACTCGGGCTATAAAAAAGGTAAAAATTAAAAACGGGACGCACTCGGGATATCCCCGCACACGAGCAACTTTTTGTTGTGTAACTGTTTTGTCTTTTCTACAAATTCCACTAAGTCAAATGTAGTCCCGCACACAGAGCAACGCAACTTTTTAATTGCTCGACCCGCCGACAAAAGGGCGACGAAATTGTCTCCGTGTAGTTTCCTCGTCTATAGTTTGGTATCTACGTGCGCACACGGGCGACAATATAGTTGCCGTTTCATTTTTTCAGTGACGTCCGAGCAAGTCATATCGATTTCATTAGTACAAAATGGCCACAGTAGCTCGTCCACGAGATGAAGACATTGACAGTGAATTGTTAATAAATGAAGTAGAAAAGAGACCGGCATTGTTCAATAAAAATTTAAAAGATTATTCAGATGCTAATTTAAAAAGTAAACTATGGGAAGAAGTGTGCTTAAATGTGCTGTGTACGACCTGGGGACAACTCAATGCAGAACAAAAAAAACAAGCAGGTTCGTGCTTTTAAATCTTGTAAACGTATGAGTAGAATTAATTGTGCTAGAAATATATATAATATATGTATACAAATTACAAAACTAATATAAATGTTCAATATATAATATATATTGATAAGCTAGCTGCACGTGGACGTCGTTAAGATAAACGTACAGTGTATCTTAACTGCGACCGCACGTGTGGGCCGTGGTATTTTACGCATTGTTAACGTTCGAATAATAATAAATAGAGCATGGATTTATATTATCTTAACAATTTTATTCTCTACAAATATAAGTAATATTTACAAAAATATAACAGGTGTTCCAATGTCATTTACCGTATTCGTATTAATAGTAAAATAATATTAACAAGGTATTATAATTTTATTAATATTATAAAGACATTATTTATTATTAAAAAAATTGAATTTGTATATTAAATATATAATTATTAAATTTATTATTCACATCAGAGTTCATTGTACTGCCATGGAACAGATCCTTGAGGGGATGTAAAATAGGTTGCAAAATAGTTACGTATATTGGCAGCAGATATAGTTCTATCGTGGGGTTCAATGTTAACACTCTGCAGTGGGCATTCATAAGCTGTGTCTGTAAAATTAATTCCATCTCTTTTGCGTACGAAATTATGGAGCACACAACATGATTTGATTATCGTGTCACAGAAATCGATGCTAACATCAATAGGTCTATGGAAAATACGCCATTTGTTTGCTAATATGCTAAATGTGCATTCAACCATTCGACGAGCTGTTGTTTGCCTTCGATTGTAAATTTTTTTTATTGGGGTAAGCGTTTTTTTCCCAAATGGACGCAAAATGTGTCTCGATAAACCAAAAGCTTCATCAGCAACCAAACAAAAAGGCATTGGTTTACCTTCTGGATCGTTGGGCAATGTTCGGTCTTTTGGTATATTCAAAAGGTTTTGTCGTAACTTTGTGCCCATATTTGAATTATTAAAGACTGAAGAATCACCTGCTGCTCCATTTGCGCCAACATCTATGTAGACAAATTGATAATCAGCATCAATCCATGCCATCAGCACTACAGAAAAGAATTTTTTATAATTAAAAAATTCTGAGCCAGTCATTTGTGGTTGGATTATTCTGATATGTTTGCCGTCTATAGCACCAATGATGTTAGGAAAATGGGTATTTTTATAAAATTGTTCAGATATGTGTAACCACCCTCCTTCGCTTATCTCTGGCATAAAAATAGGCTGCAAAATATTCCAAATTTCCGTGCATGTTGTTTTCACTATCTTACGAATTGTGCTGGCGCCAATCAAATAATTGTATGATAGTTCGTTGAAACTTGAGCCACTTGCTAGATACCTAAAGAAAAGTACCATTTAAGTACTATTATTTAAGCTTTTAATATAGCTAATATTACTACAAATTTAATACCTAGTTGTAATCTCTATTATTATATTATTATTTATAAATGGTTTTTAGGAATAATGATACAACGAAGATGGAAAAATCTAAGGACGTGCTTTGCAAGAGAATTGCGTGAACAAAAATCGGTGAAGTCAGGGCAATCTGCCAGTAAGCGACGAAAATACAAATATTACGATCAACTTTTATTTCTTATACCAACCGTACAAGTTCGCGAAACAAGTGGAAATGCTGAACTAAACGTAAGCGATGAAGAACGTGAGGAAACAGAGGATTTATAAAGCCCGCCTGTCATTCCTTTCATTCCTTCTCCACATACCACATCAAATTCAATGAAGAATAATAAAATGAGTTATGAAGAAAAACTAATCCATATACTTGAAGAAAAAAAAAATGAAACTGCTCCAAGCGTGGTTGACTCAGACACAAATTTTGCACTGTCTCTTGTACCTATGCTGAGAGCAATACCCACACACCAAAAGATCGATGCACAAATTCAAATTCTTCAGTTACTAAAAAATTTTCAGAACAATTCGCTACCAACGAACACACTTGATTTCAGTAGAAACTTTGCTAATTACTCCACTCCTTTGCATTTAATAACTGGTACATCTACATCTATGAATCAACCCACCACTTTGAACTAAAACATACAACTTATTTCACCTCAAACTACCGACAGTTTACAGTCATATATATCAAATTTTTCAGCGTCTTCAGATGGATTAGAAACCACAAATGATATAAATGAACACTATTACTATACTTAATTCAATATTTATCTAATTTCATATAAAAAGTTATCTTTACTTTTAATAATAAATAATGAAAAAAAAGAAAAGAAATTGTATTTATTTATACATCTCACCTCAATGTAACAGCGAGCCTCTCTTCTGATGGAATCGCCAGTCGCATGTTTGTATTTTGGTAGGTGATGGCAGGTTCCAGAAATGTAATTAGCTCGTCAAATGAAGTTACACTCATGCGGAAATAACCAACAAATTTCTCTGGGTAACTTCTTAACTCTTCGAACATCAAAGTAAATTTCCCTTTATTCATTCTTTCAGATATTAGCGGGTGAACCCAATATTTCCTTTTCCGTTGATTTTTCCTGTGTCGAATGATAAGAGCACAAACTACTGCAGTATCCAAAAAATCCATAATAGGTTAGGTGTACGTAATTGATGTTGAAGATTGAAAATGGACGATTGAGATGTACGTATGCATATGATAACGTATGATAACGATGTGCACGCGTATTTATCGAATGCATAGTTGATCGTCGTGTGCGCACTCTCACACTCCGAAGCAACTAGACAGCGACAAAGACAAAAAAGTTGCGCAACAAATAGTTGCTCGTGTGCGGCCGCCCTAATATTATAGTACATCACTTGCCACAGAATAATTATTCTAAGATATTATATTATGTCTGTTATCAGCGTTCGATGACCGCAACGTCGCGTGTCGTCATTTCGTAAAAAAATGAAATACGTTATCTTAAGTTTAATTTCAGTGTATTATATATATATTTACATAACCGTGACGGTTTAACCGTCCCAACCAAAACAAAATTTAGTTAGTTGTCACTTGTCAGATATCAGCTATTATTTTTAAAATAATAAAAATGTAATAATTTCTATTTTACTCATCATTGTTTCAAAAAATGGTTTTCGGTTTTTGCGTTAGCCCAAGTATCAACATATTATCCTAAATACGACTCTGCCTATCACCAAGGAAATGCCGCCCTAGGCATAGACCTGTGTTGCCTGTGCCTTCCGCCGGGCCTGCATATACATATATAAAACAAAAAAAATAATACATTTTAACTATGACAAAAGTCATAGTTATACATATATGTACATATCTATTTATATTGAAACATTCAATTTAAAGTATAGAGATTTTCATATTTTCTACACATTTTTTAATAATTTATATACTCAAAATATAATTTAGAACTTGTGTAATTAAAAGTATAACACTTCTATAAATACATTCCATTCTTATTTTTTAATAAAGGCATATTTAACTCCACCAAGAGACATTATAGAACTTAAGCAGAGAATTATAACTGAATGCAAGAATATTCCACCAGAAATAATAAAAGAATCCAGTATAAGTAATTTACAAAAAAGATTAAATATATGTTTCAATCAAAGAGGAAAACAATTTGAACATTTATTATAAATACATAGTAACTTATATGTGATAATAAATTGTATAACAAATAATTTTACCTTATATTTATAATTCATTTTCTCTAATAGAAAAAGTACTTGTACTTTTACCTTAAATTATGTAAACACCAACAATTTATTATTATTCACAGCAATATGCTTTCAATCTAAAATTAACGTGTTTATAGTCATTAACAAAAAAGTATGTTTCAGAAAAAATGTAGAAGTCCTTTTTTAACTGTTAAAACTGTTAACAATTCATGTGAGAATTGTGTTACTATTATTATTATACCACAGTAGTAAAGTAACATAAGATAATAGTATAACATGTCTAGTTATCTTCTGGTTCAGGATATAATCATACAAAATAATATTATTGAAATATTTAATTGTAAAAAAGTCAATGTATGATATCTTAACTTCTAGCAAAGATAAAACACTGTCAACAGCATGTGGTTTTTCCATATGACAATGAACGATATTACGATAGACGATATTACGATAGACTATTACTATAAATTAATTTGTTAACCCATATTTGTTTACGAAAAAAATTTCAAAAACAAACAGAAATATTTGACCAAAAATCATATGATATTATTTTGTTTTATCTCTCCTATAAAATTTGTTTTTGTATTTACATAATTGCATTCCTTTACTTCTGTGGTAGGTATCATCAAAATAAATAAATGATAATTAATTTCTAAAAACTGCAAGAGGATCACATTTTTACTAAAAATTGAATGATTAAACTTTGCGTAAAACATAACGTTAAATGATGCTATAAAATCAAACAATGTTTGCAAAAACATAACCATTTCACAGCATAAAGATTTGATATTACCAAATATTAAAATCGCAATAATAATAATAATAAATAGGGCTTGGATTTTGTAAACTTTACTATTATTTATTGTTTTTCAAATTTATTGTTAGTTAACAATATTTACAATGTATTTATTCCATAAATATTTTAGTAGTATAATAATTGAATCTCATGTTAGGATGTATTTATATGACATTTTTTTCTTTTTCAAATTTACTGAATATACTTAATTCTGTTTTTCAACTTAAAACTTATGTATAATTTTGAAAGGAAATTGGAAAAATTGATTGAATTACCCATCATTTATTTTGTTTGATTATGCTTATCAAACTTAAAATTGTTTCTATACAATATAAGTATGTACCTATATGTATATGTATAGTCTTATTAGATAGCTATAACACTGTAACAAACTATAGGTAATATGAATAAAAAATATACTTTGTAAAATTTAGTCTAAGAAATTTAATAGTATATTGCAAATTTGCAACAACATCCAAACCCCAAGAAATAAAAATGTTACATTATAAATAATCCGGTACATCTACATTCAATTTTAAACATTTTATTTTATTATATTCCCTAACGAACATTACTGAATTTTGATTTTGACTACTATCAAATATTACACATTACATTTATACCACTAACTTAAAATATAATAAAATAGCATGTACTTACAATTATTCAGAAACCTATATGTATAATCACAAAATTTAAATACATGTAATACATGTATGTATAATATAAGCTGCAATATTTTGATAAAAATTTTTTTTATAAACCGGATATTTTACATCTAATATTACTAAGGTGATAACTATTGTGAACACTTGGAAATATTTTGATTTATAATAAATAATAATACATATAATATGAAGTTTTGACAATTCTAAAATTAAAAATGTATGTTTGCTAATATTACTGAAATTACAAAAATATTAATTAGACAATAAGATTACTCATAATTTTAAATTTTCTAACAGGAATTAGTTAGGTAGGAAAATTAAGAATAATATTAAATTTTTAAAGTTGTTTCAAAGCAAAGTGAAATTCATTAGATAGGTTTAGTATTTATATCATTAGCTATTCTAACTTTAAATGTATAAAGACATTTTAATTAATAAAATGTGTTAAATTGTTTCAATAATTGATTGAAAAACGATAGTTTTGCTTGTTTATCACATCACATAAATGAAAATGTGCTCCATCTGACATAATCAATTTTTTTTTTTTATTTATTTTTTTTTAATTTATTGAACAAAACATAATATTTACAATCTGTATTTACAAGTTATACAATAAGTAAATGTGATGGGAATTGATTTACAGGAGGGGGGGAAGTTGCCCATTGGCGACACCCCGTGGTAAGCGGTTTAAGGAGAGAGTAGGTCCCTACACCAGTTCCTTTTCAGGCGCCTGGGTGGATTACCTGGAATTTGATTGGATGATAGTTGGGTAATTATAGGATTAGAGTGAGTACTGAATGTTTTGTGTGTTTTTTTGTAGGTGGTTTTGGCAAGGCTGTTTAAGGTTGGAATGCAGATGTCTTTATGAAGTGATTCATTGGTAATATACCAAGGGGCACCAGATATTAGACGTAGACAAATGGACTGAAGTGCCTGAATAGTTCTAGTATTTGAGGGTTTGGCTGACCCCCAAAGTTGTATGCCATAGTACCACATGGGTCTTAGAAGAGCCATGTATATTGATCTTTTGGTTTTTAATGAGAGCTTTGAGCGGAGTAAGGGTCTGAGAAGGTGGAGTCTTGAATTGAGAGCTTTACGCTTTTTTTTTAAGTGTGGACCCCATGTAAGGCGTTTGTCAAGAATTAAGCCCAAATAATTAGTTTGTGTGGAAGATGGAATTTGTGCATTGCCGATAAAGGTTGCGGGACATTCTAGAGATCGAAGTGTGAAGGTAATTTGTGAGGATTTTGATGGGTTTACTTGGATTTTCCAGTCATGAAACCTGGTGTTTAGCACAGTTAGGTGGTTTTGGATTTTTTGGGCAGCTTGGATGGGATCATAGTCAGTAGCAAGGATAGCAGTGTCATCCGCGAACGTACCAAGTAGTGTGTTTTCGTTTAGAGGTAGGTCACTGGTGAAGACATTGAATAGGAAGGGAGCTATGTCGCTGCCTTGGGGAACACCGGCAGTTGCTATTTGAGAGTTGGATAAGGCGCCGTTAATTTTTATGACAAATGTTCGTTGGTTTAGATAAGATTTAATTAGTAGGTAGTACGGAGCAGGCAAGAAAGATTTTAATTTAAAGAGTAGGCCAGGGTGCCAAACTCGGTCAAAAGCCTGTGCGATATCTAGAAAAATACCAATGCAGATTTTTTTGCTCTCGAATGCTGATGAGATTTGATCGACGACTCGATGCAGTTGGTGGATTGTGTTGTGTTTAGATTTGAAGCCAAATTGGAAATCAGGTATAATTTTATTATCTGCGGCAATTTTTGTAATTCTTTTTAGTAGTATTTTTTCAAATAGTTTTCCTACGATAGACAGAAGGCTTATAGGACGGTAAGAGTATGGGTTTTCGGGAGGTTTGCCTGGTTTGTGGATGAGTATTATTTGAGCATTTTTCCAGATAGATGGCATGTAAGAAAGGCGGAGTATAGAAATTAATATATAAGATA